TTAAAATAAATGTTACCATCTCGATCTTTTAGATAAAATAGTTAATTCAGTGAAACATGATAACAGATTTTGATTATTTACAATTTATATATCCAGCTCCTGATGAATCCTCCGCTGGAGAAGTTGGAGAAGGGAGCTCTCCTCTCCTGGAGTCTCCATTTCCAAAGTACGACGCCACGACCCCGTCGCCAGGCCCTGATCCAATATTTAAGGACGAAGGCATTTTAAGGACAGCGAGTACGTCACCAGGTTATTGTATAGTCTAAGATAGGAAAAACTTGCTGATTCCTTATAAATAGTCTTATGAATAATACTTATTATGGTTGTTATTAGGCAATTAACGTTAAGTCTTCAGAATACAAGATTGCATAAGTTGTACAAGATAAGTCAACTATTGAGAGAGTTTCAGTAGTTATTTTTTTAACAATTCTGACCTGTTTATATTCAATATAGCATACACGTAAATAAATGATACAAATACAAATTCGATATAGCAAAACTAATCACAACTGTACTATTAATGTCTTTGCAGTAATATGATGTAATTCATAATGCATTACATTTATAATGGTAAAGCAATTTACATGTTTACAGTAAGCTTTTCATGTAGCATATATTATTTAAATCTGTCATAATTGTTTCTGTTTCATCTAACTCCTCGTTTCGGCAATCTTTCAGATTCGGGTCCTCTCCCTGTGAGGTTGAAGTTGGATGGTACATTGCTTTAACGCTTGAAAATCTTTTCAGTTAGGACATAAGAGATCTGTTTTCCTCCAGTTTAGCCAAGAAGAGGAGCGGATTAACATCTACGAGCGGGTTAATGCATTTTAGTGATATAACGTTTTTGGGGACTGTTGGGGCCAGAGGGGAGGGAGGGGGATATTTCAAAATTAAAACACAAACCCTTCCCCGGTGAGTTTTATCAAAGGTGAGAAAATTCGAGCAAAATTAAATGTTGGGTAAGAACGAAAAATAAAAGGAGTGGATATGAGACCTGTAAAACATGAGAAATGCATACACATAAAAAATATTATAAAATTACTCAATTAATTAAATATGTTAAGATAAACAAATAAAAAATCTCCTTCTAAATGTTTACAATTTATTGAATAAAAAAAAGAGATATAAATTTATACAAAATTTGAAATAAACAATACTGGAAAGTTACGAGAAAAAATAAAACATAAATACAATATCCAGTGAAAATAAAAACAAAATATAAATAAACTCAACTTCAAAATTATAGATAAAACAAGAGAAAAAAAATAACAGTCCCAAAAGAATAAAACTAATTTATAGGTGAAACGAAAATTAAATTAATGTTCAAACGTCTTTGGTAACGGTGGAGAATAAAAAAACGACCCAAGTTGGAGGTTCCGTTTCCAACCTGGTTACCTTCTCGATGTCCAACAGTCGATGGTGGGGAAATCGAATCGATAGCTTATCGATCGATCGACGACTCAGCTGCGCCCAACAGCTGTTATCAAAAAATGGCGCTAGGGTGTTGCCAGGTGAGGTGAGTCTGGACTGGTGGGGGTAGCCGTCCACTACGTGGATCCAACGTCATCAAAAGCTAGCTCCAGACTGACTTTAGACCGCATCCGGACAGCGGTATTTGTGTCTTAATCTCCAAGACTGGGTATTACTGCCGGGCCGGTGTGTATAAATAAGCGATAAACATCGCGAATAATACCCAATATTTATATACTATAACCTTATATACATTTTAGGGCAATATTTCTCAGCCTATTACAAAAAAATAATAAACATTTATTCCATTTACATTCAAAAAGGGTAAAAATGGTGATACAAAACAACAAAAAAAAAAAGATAAGAGTGTATGCGGCGTTAACAGTGATACTATATTGTTTTTTTGTATCCAGGTCTGAGGGTTCTCACCAATGAGTCCTCAAACAAAGCAAACAAAAAATGTTAATTTTTTTAAGTGAAAACTTCTTTAGGTGAGTTTTGTACTTTTATGTGGAGAGTGAATTAGAATGAGCCGTCAGTTTTCCAATGTTTAACGCTCGGGTAAATTGTACCTCGCTTTCTTTGATAGAGAGGCGAAAAGGAAAAAATAGTGTCGAAAACCAAATGATAATGAATTTTATTGAATATATGGATTAAAATATCACAGAAAATAAAAATCAGACCTGCGTACTTTAGCAAAGGAATGTCAACCATATCCTTTTTATAATGAGCTATTATTTATAAATTATATTTCATATTATTAATCTCAACTAGTTGATGTTTTCACTTCTATCGTGTGGTCTAAAGCACACATCTTAGAATTTGTTTCTACATTATTGTCTTCTGCTTTTCCTCTGTATAGATTTTCAGGTTATAATACGAACGTAAGCGAATAATTATCTTCAATTTAGTTTTAAATGTTATCGACATACAAATAGAAAATATGCATTATCATTTTCTTGCTTTTCAAATCAGTTGGTCCATCGTTGCCCAAGCTTCCTGACACTCTTAAAAAGATAGCTTTCGGCCGATGAAGTAGCCATGAATACTCTGTTTTTTCAAATATCCTTCTGAGGTTATGCGACGGCCTATCAATGCTTCTAAAATAAATGACATACTCTATAATCCCTTAGCCACTTCGAACACTATATATACTAGGAAACATTTTGATAATTTCGATAAATAAAACAGATTCAATGTGTGGTGCTCTACACTCTGAGTAATAAATAGATTACTACAAAGATCTTATACATTAAAAAAATAGGTATTGATTAAGTAAAATAATGGATTAGTTAGTTTAAGTAGAGGGGTGGGTATGTGTTATTGCTTAACCACTAAACTGAAGATATATCTTCCAAAGGGACAAACTAATGACTTATTAAGTAAATCGTTAGTATTACAAAAATAAACATATAGTTAAAAAAAACACTATATAAATGTAAACATCCAAACTATAAAGCCACATATCTGTAATACACAAGTGAACCTACCAACGTTTCGACAATAGCTATCAACAGGTCAGAAAAAAAAATCATATACACATTTGAGTTTTATTTTATTTTATTTGTATTTATTAATTTGGTCTTATTTTTTTTACTTAATTTAATTAAAACTTTTTTATATAATCATATTTTAGGTTTGCGTATTTTTTTATTCATTTTATGCCCGCTAAACAGCTGTTTAATATAGCCTTCCTCTGCTGTTTTAATGAAACCTTCTGTTTCCTTCAGTATATATTTAGATGGCTTGGTGAGATGTCAATAGATTTTTTTTCTTTCCTTTCTTTCTTTCTGTATATATTGATTGTATTTTTTTTAAAGTGAAAACCTCTTTAAGCGCGTTTTGCACTTTTTTGTTGAGAGTAAATTAGATTGAGCCGGCAGATTTCCGATCTGTAACGCTCGGGTAAAGTTGGCTGGAGTCTACTAATTGAAGTTTTATAGAAATTTCAACAGCTAACTTTCGGAACTGCATACTGTAAGGGAGGGAATTGTTCATCATTTCATGCTCTCTGTAATGGGCTATTATTAAAAATTGTATCTTGACGGGACAACCCCAGCAAATTGACAAAAAGGTAAAAATTTAGTGTTAAAAACCAAGTCACAAGGAATTTCATAGCAAATATTCTAATATTCAATAAAAAAAAATCATACTAAAATAACAGGAAAATAAGATCAAGTAACTCATGAATGTATTGTTTCATTTTCAGATTATGATACTGATTTAGTATCAGTCGGAGCAAAGTTAAAAACAATTATAATTGTATATGTTGTAAATGTTTTGAATTTATGAACATACAGCATGTTCTCAGTAAGTCTTCCAAAAAATTTTATTTGGGAAGTAAATTAATCCTTTATTGTTCCTGTTGTTGTGTTCCGGTAACTTCTGAGCATGCTCGTCACGACCGGTAACTTTCGGGCATATCGTCACCGCTTTTGAAGCAATAAGGGCCAAACTATTGAGGAAAACCGGACTCTACATCATCACGAGGGACGATTTTCCTCAGCTAGTAAGTAAGGATAACTACCCGTACTACTAAGCATTCTTGTGCGGGTGGAAGGAATTAGTGAGAGGTGATCACTTCAACCTCCGCTAAAGAAGATCGAAGAACCAGTAAGAAGTATTAACTACTTCTACCAAACATCTGTATTATCGTTTATTTTTATTTTTTTTTTTTTTATTGAATAATAATACAATCAGCCACTGCTGGAGGGCTATAAGTATTAGGGCTAAGAGTTCTGATTCAAACAATATATACAAATAATAGAGAAATAAATATAAATATAAAAAGTAAATAAATAATACTGATGAAGAAAGTAAATAAAAGAAAAAAAAGTAAACAATAACATAAAATTTCTAAACACAATCATACCTATATACAATATATACATTCTCCCAGGAATCTCCGAGCCAGGCTTTTTCCCCTACATGTGGAAGGCAAAGCAAGACTCCAGGAGATACCAGTGCTACTTTTTCAGCCGCATCACTAGTATTAGAAGCCAGTGGAGACTGAAAGAGGGCACTAGAGCCACAGACGCTGGGGACATGAGTGGAGAAGCTGGCCATTGCCAGGACTCCAGAACTCTGTATTATCGAGAAACAAGAAAAGAAGAAAATAAAATGATAATAATATGACATTTTTACATAATCATAATTATATATTATTACTTTGTGAATATAGAACACAAATGAATATTTATATTAATTCCGCAATTTTGATGTTTTCACTTGTGTCGTGTGGTCTTAATTTTTTCTGTCCTTATGATGCTTACGAATTGGTGAAACGTTGACAGGATAACTTTTGGTTTGTATGCTAGTGAATCATGGATTTATATGTATTAGCTTTACCGATTGTATAGATTATATTGATAATATAATATTGTGTATTCGAATAACATTTTTGGCACAGGTCCGTTATATGAATACATTATGGAGAAGTTATGTAATGTGAGAGTTATCGAGGATATAATTAATATGAAATAATTAATCTTTTTCAATAACCTCCCTTCTAATATTGAGTTGTGTTGCAGAGCACGGACGAGCGCTGTCGATACCTTCGGAACACCACGCTTCGTTCGCATATCCGAAAGATGACGAGGACCTCAGAAGGTAAGAAACAAAATGGTTCCTCTTCTAGACTTCTAGTTTAGAGATGGCATGATCCCCTTTAACATGATCTGGAGCACGGGATTCCCTTCCCTTGTTTGCAGAGCCTTAGGGATTTGTCTTACCCTCGAGATAAGCTTTATTGATATTTTCAAAACGCATTAAGTACCTATTATGTTCATACCTTCAGAATATGATATTTATAACTTCCAATCCTTTATACATATATATAAAACAATAATAATAATCCAAAAAATAAAAATAAACTTTTTCATGAAATCGCCGGGTTATTATTATTGATTGATAAAAATTATTCATTATTATGTTTTCAATGTATTTCTTTATTCAATAATAATATAATCTTAAAGACCATATTGCTCATTCTATGAAAAAATAAAACAACTGTAAAAGTTTGAAGGCATAGAAGTATTTCATATTTTATAGAATCAATTAAAAAAATTATACCACTTATATTATAATAATTTGAATTATTTGGTATATCCTATAAAATTAAATGACTTGATATCACTTCATTGTTCTACCATATGAGTGATATTTACAAAATAAAAACCTCAATAACTTGATATATATAGTGGGATTGCAACACGGATATTTAAAATTATACATTTTACGAATTTTCTGCTTTTTAAAACCATAGGAAACCCAGAAAAGGTTCATTGTACCAACCGTCTCTACCCCAACAAAAAATTATCTTTAGCAGAAAGGTATTGCAATACATAATTACAGACTTTGATCTCGCACCTTTTCTTCAATTCTAGAAGTACGTCAATTGCATAACAGAGCTCTGTCTGTATATCACACATTTCCAAAATACATTAAAGTAAATGTAACATGCCCATGCTTCGATAGTTTGGATTGGCAGAATTCACGTACTTCCAAATGAAACTTTCCAATTGGGAATATCTGTTCACAGATGGGTCAAAAACTCAGTATATTTCACGGCACTTTCAAATCTGAAGGTAGGTCTTGCAAACTCAGTCTTGGTCTTGCGCAAGAGTCTCACAGTTATTTATTAGCCTATTACTGTAGGGATATTACTGTATTTTTTTAGATAGGAGAAAACTAACTAAGCCCGAATGAAAAATTAGAGGAGTTAAATGCAAAAGTATATTGTTTATAATAATTCTTTTCATATAATAACTAAGATTGTCAAGTATTAGTAACTACTTTGCCTTAATTTTTACTCAAAAATCGATTTTTTTTACCAGTCCTGGTTTTGGTCTTGCGACAGTTAGGCGGCCTTTTGTGCAACACTATCGCTGGTTGGAATCCGGCTGTTAGTAGGTAATTTTTATTCTTTTTCATCTGCCGTGGGTAGACCCTGGAATCAGGAAACTTTCACGGGCACCTGTACAGTGGGTACTCTTGAATAAATGATTTGTTAAGAGGAAAAACTGGTGGTTAAGCGTGATCTCGACCCAATCACCTCCCTGCATAACTATTGTCTAAGAAACAGTAGTTTCCCTTAATATCACTGAACCCATGACCCTTCATTGGTACAGGTTTCTTCTTTTTTTATTCTACTTCACAATATTTTCATGGCTTACCATTATTTCCATTTTTTTCCTTGTTATTTTCTTGTTGGTTTGCCTCAGCTCTGATTAAGACCTGGCAAATACAACTTAATAGAATAGAACTTAAGGCAAAATATCAGCATAAAAAATCCCAACCATAGTACCTACACGACTAACGTGAAATCCACATACAAGACTGAAAAGACAGGAACTTAACCGACGTTATGGCCAGCTATATAGCCTGCTTAAAATGGTTGAGGAAAAAGCGCAGGGATCTCCTGAAGCCTTGCTTCCCCATGGCCGACTGTAAATAGTGTAAATCGATATGCCTGCATCTAAGATGTTTATTTTCATTACTTTTTTTTAAGATAATTTTAATTCTATTTTATGCATTTATTTTCATTCTATTATTACTATTATTTATATTTTCTTCCTTCACTATAATATTTTATTTTGTTGTTAGCTTTATATTATTTGAAATTAGCTTTTTTTTTTATTTTTTTTTTTAATTTGTAAATATGGTGTGAATGTGCTCTCAGAACTATATTATAAATGTCCTTTATTGAGACAGATTGTAATATTTACCAATAAACAAATAATCAACCTAAAAAAAAAAGTACCTATATTGAACTACTTCTCCATCATTAGTTTACAAGTTTATAAATATTTAATCTTTCCATCTCGAGAGTGGAATGCCCTTACCGTAATGAAGCCAGAATGATGGAGCCGGAATGACGGAGCCGTGGATTGGTGGGATATGGTTCGCAATTTGATCCGAGACTGGAGAAATAAATCTGAGTGAGTCAGTAGCGAACCTTATTGGTCCAATCTATTAGACATATTGACCCCATCCGGCCAAATCCCGAGCTGTATCAATCATACTTCCCCCGGGATTGGGACCTCGAAGGGCAGGAGCCATCTTGGGGGGACTCCTGATTAATAACTGGGGACGGGGCCCCGCGGGACCGCTGTTGTGCAGGTCCCATCAAGTACCACCAGGCAATATATGCAGGCGGAGGGGGGGGGCCCATATAACGTTTGCCTTGGAGATTGAACTCAATCCAAACTTTAGCGAACTCTCGCGAAGTTTGTCCGCATCTTATCTACCGCAGCCATCGCCGAGCACTGAGCTCTGTCAGCCAACGGGGGGATAGCAGACAACATGTTACAACTATCGTTGTATACAGTACACCTTTAGCCGAGCATAGTGAACAATGATTTATATATTATATTACAATGCCTTTTAAACAAACTATTTCTCACATAAATAAATAATTGTAGACATTATGGCAAGGGTTGAACGGTAAAAAGCTCAATTTTTGCAGTTTCATTGATGTTTTATAAAAAAAAAAATTTAATAAATAAGTTTTTTATATATATTTTAGGCCAAAGGTCACCAAATATACACAGTTTTTATATCCTATATTCTTTATTCGACGTTTCGGCTTCAGGAGCCATTTTCAAGATCCTGCAAAACTATTTTTAATTTAGTTTTTACAATTCAAATACATCCTTATCAGACACATATTATTTAATAACTATCAGTAATATAAATAGTCCAAAATTTATTACATAAAAAAAAAATTGTATTATTAAATTCATATCATCCACGTACCATGCACCGAGCAATAAAAAATTTAAAATCTGTCATTGCAATAAGATTCGTCCTTTAGTCATTCTTTTATTTCAAAGAATGTTGTTTTTTCACTTCTAAAAAATTGTAATACATAAATAATAAATTAAAATAGATTGGTAATATTAGTTTTAAAAGGATTATTATTAGTTCTCGATTTATGTATCTCTCTCGAATACGAAGAAAATTGTTGTCAAGAAAATTGTTGCTCCTCACTAAGGCATTCATACAGGACTGTTACATAGAGAATAGAATATTGGGAAACAAAGACTAATTGATTCCATTTTTTATTACCAAAAATCTTAAACATTCAGTGAATCAACAGACAGATGTAGATAACTTAAATACTTTTTATGCTAGCTCAATAAACAAAATAAAATATAATATAGTGATATAAAACAGCTGATCCCTAACCCCTCCACCCCCCTAAATAAATCCAGTCCTGTATGAATGCCCTATCGAGGAACAACAATTTTCTTGATATCGTCTGCGAAAGAGGTACATAAATCGAGAACTAATAATATTCTTTTTTAAAATAATATTACCAATCTATTTTAATTTATTATTTATTTATTACAATTTTTAGAAGTTAAAAAACGACATTCTTTGAAATAAAAAAATGACTACAGGACGAATCATACGAATTTTATGGCGCGGTGCATGGTAGGTAAATGATAAAATTAAAAAAAAAAAAAAAATTTTGGACTATTCATATTACTGATTGTTGTTAAATAATATGTGTCTGATAAGGATGTATTTGAATTGTAAAAACTAAATTAAAATTAGTTTTGCAGGATCTTGAAAATGGCTCCTGAAGCCGAAACGTCGAATAAAGAATACAGGATATAAAAACTGTATATTTGGTAACTTTTGGCCTAAAATATATATAAAAAACTTATGAGGAAATGGCACCAAACCTGAAGGATGTGACTAAAAATTTTTTATAATAAATTTTTTCGTTTATGGTAAAAGTTAAACTTACATTTATAATTTATTTTAAATGATTCTAATGTGCCGTTTTTATGAGTATTTAAGAATTAAAGTCATCTTTTACTTTCCTACCTATACTAGGTAAGGAAAGTATTGAGTTCGGGTCAAATTTTCGATGTGCGGTTTTCAACTGAACTTTACTTTTTAGAACCCCTCTCCCCCCCTCCATCCCTAGATATTTATCTATTTCTTCTTCTAAAAATCAGTACAAGCAATAATAGAATAAGAAAATTCGTTGATGTTATTTAATTACACTAACCGTGGTCTGGTCCATGTTTTTCTCTTACTCCTTGATTCGAAACTTTTCAATTCGAAAATTCATAACCCCGTCGCAATGTACCTCCCTTAAAAATTCCAAATGTGCCCCCCCTCAAAAATTTTGTTGGCGCAACTTGAATCCCTTTCTGAGCACACCAGCTTACCACCGTTCTTAGATAATTAAATGTCTGATCAAACCGAGCTAGTTAGCAGAATAGAATCAATGGATGTTACACATGTTTTAAACTAACCTCGAGTCAAAGTTAAATGTTCTTTCGAATGAGTCTGTTGAATGTAGGCAATGAAAAACTTTGTTTTTGAACTCCAGTTTCGGATATTTATATATGAACTATATAGAAATATTTAAAAGTACATAATATGTAAGTAAGAAAGAAATGCACCTTGTAGTAAAATCTATTATAACTAAATCTTTATACCTTTATACAGTTTTTCCAAACTTATTATTTTTACCATTGTAAAATTTTCCAAAATAGTGTAACGAGTTTTTTGGAAGAAAAAAAAATATATCTTTAAATTAAAAAATATAAAACGTGTTTTCCACCTAACATTTCAGTACTGGACTGTAAATTTAATTTTAATAAACATGAAATAAATATTTTTTTTATGATATTTACAACTGTATTAAAAGTAAAAATACATTCAGTAAATGTGAACAAAGGAATAAAATAGCATGAAATCACATGTTGAGAAACTACCCATTGGTAGCACTCTAAAAATGTATTTACAAAAGGAGATCTCGAGGCCATCTTCTTTTCAGACGCCTCGGAGGGTTGTCAGGTATCGAAGAGGAAGCAAGGTTAGAAACGAGAGGGTTTGGATGGTTCTGAAGTTTGTTATGGAAGGATAGGTATCTGGATTGGGCCAGGTCAGAAACATAAGGAACATTAAGGTCGTTATGGATGATTTTGTTTGTGACAAAGTAAGGAGCAGTGAGGATTTTACGAAGGATTTTGGATTGTAAGGATTGGATACGAGAGGAATTCGATGGTTTAGTGGAGCCCCAGAGCTCAACTCCGTAAGTCCAAATAGGTCTTATTGTAGTCATGTATATGAGTCTTTTGTAATTGACTGGGAGCTTAGAGCGTTGTCTAGTAAGTGCTGGAGTAGTCGGAAACGTCGAGCTGTTTCTTGTCGTTTCAGTCTGGTATTAGGGTATCCAAGTTAGACGTTTGTCTAAGGTATCGAATTTGTTCAACAGGAATAAGTGGGGTATTATTAAAGGATACTGTAGGACAAGAGGACATAGTTTTACGACGAAGGGTAAAGATGATTTGATGGGATTTATTGGATTTTTTATTTTTATTTTCCAGATTTGACACCATTCTTCAAGGTTTGTGATTTGTGATTGAAGGGTTTGGGATGAAATTGTTGGGTCGTTATTAACTGATAAGACACATTTATCATCGGCATACGTGGTAATGACAGTGTTATGATGGGTTGGGATATCAGCTGTATAAACTGTGTAAAGGATAGGACCTAGGATACTACCTTGAGGAACACCAGCGGACTGGGAAAAAAGGGATGAATAAGCATTATTATGATTTACTTTGAAGGATCTATCAGTAAGATAGGAACGGATTATGAGGAAGTATGTAGGGTGTAGGAACTTACGGAGTTTGTAAAGCAGTCCCGGGTGCCAGACTCGATCAAAAGCCTGTTCTGCATCGAGAAAGACTCCCGTGCAGTACATTTCTCGCTCCAATGCAGAGGAGACAACATCCACCACACGATGGCATTGCTGGATAATGGAATGGGATCTGCGGAATCTAAATTGATGATCTGGGATAATGTGATTAGAATCTAGGGTGGGGTACAAGCGTTTTAGGATGAGCTTTTCCAGGATTTTGCCCTAGGATGGGTAAAAGGGAGATAGGGCGATAGGAGGATGGGTTTTCTGGTGGCTTTTTGGGTTTATGTATCATTTCGTTAATAGATAATTTCCAAGGGTCAGGAAAGTATGTTGATCGCAGTACAGCATTATATATATAAGTAAGGAATAGAATGGCTTTCCGAGGAAGCAGTTTTAGGATCTGGGAAAATAAATATTAACGTTAAAAAACACATTAAAAATAAGCCCTACGCTTATCGATATAATATTCAACATTTCTAACAATATTCATCGATGATTTAAAAAAAACTAATCTTACATAAATTATTATTATTTTTATTTGTTGGAAACTTTCTTCTTTAAAGGTGAAATTAGCACTTATAACTTCCTAATAATTGTCATTCTTCATTTTTTTATTTATTATACTTGTCTGACGTTTCGGGCAACGTTCTTCCCATTATCAGAAACTGACTATTCACGGTCGTTAGGTCAGTTTTTTTTTTGTTGCTCCTTTTATGAATTTAATAAATTATTAATATGTGCTTATTGCTTTTTGATAGTTATTTGGGAGAAAAATAAAAATTAAGCAACAATTGTTTAGAATAATATTATTATATTGTCGGTGCTTGTATGTAAGTTGCTCCTATATCTGAATAAGAACAGAAAAGTGATATACATGTGTAAATAAAAATATATTTGAATTAAATAATAGTTAAATCAATTCGAACTAGTGCAGTTAGGGTTTCTCAACACAAATATTAATAATATCGTTCTTTTTTTGTAAAATAATGCACTATACTACACTAACATGTATTTGAGACTATAACATCAAGTTTTATAAGCAATAGTCAATGAATAGTCAATGAAACTGTATCATATTACCGAAACTGTAATTTATTTAAACTTAGATTAAATATCAAAGTACGTATCATAAAGGTTTATTAATCTGTTTATTTGAAGGAAAAATTGTATTAATAAAAACAAATCCACATACTTTCAAGATATATTTTTGTCACTTAAAATATTTGTATTCAATAAAATGATTAATAATAACTCAAAACATTATTGTTGAAGTATTGTTTTTCTCAAAAGTTTACACCAGACGGATTCCTCTCGTTCGACTCGGATTTGTCTCACGATGTCTTTTCCCTAGATGGGATAAACGCCGGTGGCCCCAGACGTAAACTACGAGAGGCAGTAAAATGCGGCTAAAGAACAGCCTCAATAAAAAGGGTGGGGAATATTCCGAGGATAATGTACTTCTCCATCTTCCATATAATCTGCCTCGGAGCTGCACCGCTGTCTTTATTGTCTCGAGTATTTTTGTTTGGGCGCCATTTCGCGTATTACCGATCACATTAACCTCGAAGATGAAGATGTCCATAACTGTTGTAGTTGGTCTACTTAATAAGACATCTTTATCTTTATGACTGAATCTAAGAGATTTAGAGGCATTTAAACTTTTACGCGCATTATAATTTAAAACAAGTTTTTGATGGGTTTGGTAATTTTCTAAAAAAACTGAAAAAGAAACATTTTTCTGTTATTAAATGTATCTCTGTATTTTAGAATTCTTTTATCATTAGATTAGAATTAGCTTTAGTATTTTTGTTTTAAATAATTTTATAATATTATAGCCTTGAATTCGATTGCATTAAATTTAGTTAAACTTCATTAATTATTAATTAGTTATACCTTACTTATATATATATATATATATATATATATATATATATATATATATATATATATATATATATATATATGTATGTATACTTGTATATGTGCGTGTATATATATATATATATATATATATATATATATATATATATATATATATATATATATATATATATATATATATATATATATATATATATATTATATATTTATTAATATATCTTACAATATATTAGTTCTATATTCACTATTCTTATCAATCACTCCTATTATTGTCAGACTTATATTCCTTTCGATTATATGCTACTATTCTTATATGATTTACTCTATTTATAATGTATTTTTATTCTTATGCACTGTCTTGGCAAATAAGTCCTTTCGGTTTTTTTGTTTATTTTTATGTCAGTATAATACACTTCTTATCTGATGAATTAATCCCAAAGGTGGATAGTTTATCCTGTTCGTAATATGTCAACAACTATATCTGTTAACAGTGCTAATAGGGATGATGTCTTGACCGAACGCCTTCCCGAATGCCTGAAACCTGTCAAAATTGGTTTACTAAATTTTATTCAGGAAATTTTGACATCGAAGATGCTCAACGGTCTGGTCACCCAAATGGAATTGAAACAAGTGATATTAAGGTCATTGTCGATCTATATTCCACCCAATCAAGGGAAAAGATTACTATGGCCCTTAATGTGTCGCCCACAAGCGTAGAAAACCATTTGCACAACCTCGGCTTTATTTTCCGGCTTAATGTGTGAGTCCTTACATGATTTCTTTTCGAAAATTCCAAAAAGCTGTAACTTCAATACGACTTTCGCTATCTATAAAAATTTTACCAGAAATTTAGAGCTACATAAACTACACAAAATGACATCAACAGGACCTTCGTAAACAAAACTACAAATGGAGATAAAAAATAAAAACCTATAAGAAGTTTTGGTTTATTTATGCCTTATTTAGACGTTAAATAGAAAAAAAACTATTCATATGGATTTGAAGAGTAATAATTCAGCTTTCGAATGGATATAGTAACATCGAATTTACAGAACATCCTGAAGAGTAATGAATGATCAGAAGGGTGTTGTGTTCCAGCAAGACAACGCTAAACCTCACAGATCATTGGTTACTCGAAATAAATTATTGAGCCTTCGATGAGACCTTTTGCCAAACCCTCCCTATTCACCAGATCTAGCTTCATGTGACTACTATTTATTCCGGTCTCTGCAGAACCCCATGAACGGAAAGAAATTTCAAAAGGAAGTGGACATTAAAAAACATTTGGGTCAGTTTTTTAACAATTAACTCTAGGCATTCTATCAACATGGCATTATGCATTTAATGGAAAGATGGGAAAAAGTCATATTAAATAATGGTCAATATATTATAGATTAAAATAAATTTTATGTCTATAATACATTGAGTTTTATTTCACTCTGAAAAACCGAAAGGATTTTTTTGCCAACCCAATATATAAAATCTTAATTTTTTACTGAGCTCATATTATTGTTCTTATATTACACATGATGTAATTATATCATTTCATTTTTTTTAATTATTCTTATTGTTATGTTTATTCCAGTTTTCATTATTATGTTTATTTCTTTATTACCATTTTTTTTTTTCTTACTGTTGATTCCACCCCTGAATATTTATAATTGTTTAAAAAATGTATTTTTTTAAATATTATATATATATATATATATATATATATATATATATATATATATATATATATATATAAGTTAATAACTGATCTATTTATTTTGCAGCTCGTGGTGGTACATCTTGTGCACTAAGTGCAGGCAGAAGGAGTCTGGCCCCGGGTGGGAGCCCACCTTCTGGCAGGCAGTCTTCCCCTACCCCTTCTGTCCCACTTACAGGTATCTTATTATATTTATATATTATTATATTATTAAACATTATTATTGAAGCATTATATATATATATATATATATATTATTAATACTTTTTACTATATTAATCATTCAGAGATGGAGTCATAACGTAGTTTACATGTTGACACTGCATCTATAACAAGAAATGATAAATAGTACTAACAAATGATTCCATATATCACTTTCTTTGAAAAAAATCCGAAAAAATAGCTTAATTGATAAAAAAATATAATCATGGGTCTATGTGCTTGAGAGATCTAAAACATTTTCAAGTTATCATTATCATTTGAATGCACCAGATTACAAAATATGTTTTTAAAACAATCTCATACCTCATTAAATCGTGCCTGTTATTCAATTTATTGAAAGAAATCTCGCCGAAGGATTAGATCAATATAATCGATTAATAAGAGTAAATAAAAATGTTTTATTTATTTATTTATTAACAAAACAAAAATGTAGAACATTTGATTAAATTTGCAATCTGCGAATTTCTTTGCAATAAGCAAATTGTTTGGCAGCTTCACAGCTTCCCATGAAGTCCGGGATATAAATCAGATCATCAGGTTTCTTGGCCAACGCCTACGTAATCGTCGTAGTGGGCTGTACGGGTTTCTTGTATGTTGAAGGATTTCTGTCAGGGGATTCATGTTGTACGTCAGTCTTTGGTGAAAGTTATTGTAGTTCTCTTTTGCAGTATCTAAAATTGTAGCTACGCTTTATGTAGGGCATCATTTGCGACATAAAAAAGTGCGTCAATTATCCTTCGCAACACTTTTGACTGAAAGGACTAAACTTTTTTAATGTTGGAAGTTTTAGCAGAGCTCCACAGCTCTATGCCGTAAGTCCAAATAGGTTTAAGTAAAACTTTATAAAGGGTTACTTTGTTAGTTAACGATAATTTTGAACGTCTGTCAAGTAATCTGGATAAAAGACCGTATCGTCTGTTTAATTCTATTCATTTTTGTCTGATGTGAGTTTAAATAAAAATGTAAAGTTTAAATCTATTAATTGTTTTACATATTGTTGCCTAATCAGAAACTAAGATTAACCTGATGGACTGAAACCTTTTGTTATTATGAGACACAGTGAATACAACAATTTCAATATGATTTTGAAGAATAAGCCTAAAATTTGTAATCTCACAGAGTCACAGATTTCGATGAAAAGTTTGTTGTTGTTACATGGTCGAAAAATATTAGACCCATATCTAAAAGCTCTAGGAGTTGAGAAAAATATATTTTATAAAATTTTAGTATTTTATTATATTACTGTTTTCCGGCTTTTCTTTGGATGGATTTCTAAGTTACTATATATTAATCGATTTCTTTTTGTTTTTTGTGGTAAATAAGAAAAACATATTTCTAGTTGTATTAAATGAATTCTACTGTATAATAATTTTTTTAAAAAACCCAAAGACGGTTCCAGTAAAGTTGACTAAGTAAATTTTTGTCATTAAAAACGATTCAGATTCATTTTTAGGATCAAAAATAAAAATTTTCGGACATTTGTGGAAGGATTTTTTGTTTATGCCGTTTAATAAAATATTAATAACTCCTCGGAATTTTCTCTTAAATCCATAACTTTTTAGAGCTGTAATAATAACTTAAAAATCAATGCAGATAAAAAAAAGAGTATTACAAAAAATAATAAAATGTATTTTTCTCGTCTCCTAGATCACATAGGCACGAACCCTCGGACATGGGTATAATATTTTTGACCTATTATCACCAAAAACAGACTCATTAAAATCAGTGACTCACGTCTAAAATCTCCCCTTGCTAGTTTAATAAATGAAGTGATACGAATTTCATAACTTTGACTGGCTTCAATCGTGTTTGTCAGTGTTCGTTGAACTTAATTTCAAAAATAGTGTCAATCATAATGGGGATATTGTCATTTATTAAATCAAGATTTCAGTTGTAGCATCGATTGTATCATCAACTATTTCCCATAATATGGCCTCAGATAATTTCTCGTTATGAAATACAGAGATTATAAGTTGGGCTTTTGTTAAAATTGTTTATATTATATATTCTGAACAAAGTCTTGGACAAAAAATGGATCGGAAACATCTTTGTTTTTTTTTCATACCTATATTTATTATTATTTTTTACTTTCACTTACGTATATATGAAAGATATAGTAAGTGTAAGTATTGCGATCGTGAAAATTTTCGAATCTCAGTTTTCAACGGAAATACGTATTTTGAGGTCTCCTGAGTCCAAATAACGAAGTGTCGCAAAATGGTCTGTGTGTGTGTGTGTGTTAACAGTCTAGCTCATAAACGAAAAGTAGTACGAAACTGATATTAAGTATTTAAGGTTTGTTTATGGGCCGGATGTGACAGCAACTTTTTCGTTAAAATCGACTGACCAGAAGTGCCACTTTATATGAACGCTGAAATACATTTTTACAAATTTCTCGAAAATGGCTCTAACGATTTTGATCAAACTCGGTGTATCATTGTATAATTAAGTGGTCTTTAATATCATTTAAGCCTTATCCCCGTCGATGTCACTTTACAGGGCTTAAATGCCCAATGTTCATATGCGTCTTCCTCTAAAGTACCTTTAATATGGTTTATTTTAAATAATCAATAATCTCTCATTATTAAAAGTTATGAAAAAATGCTAAATATAACTTTTGGAAGAATTTGATGATTGAATAAAGGAGAAAAAAATAAAAATGCTTATTCAGATCGAAAATGAATCTTTGGAAATACTAGCCCGAAGATATACGTATAATATATCGTTGGAAAGCGGAGAATTTTAGAAAAAACAATATCGAATATAGAAAGTTGTAAAAGGTGACGGAGATTGGCAAACAAATTATAAATAATATTTTTTGAAAAGTAATAATATTAAACGTAAATCACATGTTTCCAAGGAAATGAAATGAAATTTACTAACTAAATGCAACCTTTTAAAATATTTTTAAGTTTTAAAGAAATATTTAAAATTTACCTAATAAAGGCAATGACATTGTTTAAATAACTATTTCATTGTATTTGTGTAAAAGTAGAGGTAAAATATAAAATCATTCTATGAATATGTTTATAACCTTATTGTAGGTATATTAATGTTTATAACCTTACTGTAGGTATGTTAATGTTAATATTTTTACTGTAGTATAATAATTTTATTACAATCCATAATCAATTGATCGTGCAATACATGATCAACGGATCGTACAATCCATAATCAACCGGTGATATAATAAATAGGACTTTGGTTATTTTAATGGTATTTATGATTTGTTAGCTGTAATTTTTACTTTCACTTACGTATATATGTAATATATAGTGAGGGTAAGTATTGCGATCGAGAACATTTTTGAATCTGAGTTTTCAACGGAAATACACGTTTTGAGGTACCCTGAATCGAAATAACCAAGTCCCGAAAAATGGTCTGTGTGTTTGTATGTTAGCAGTCTAGCTCAAAAACGAAAAGTCGTGCGAAACTGATAAACTTTTTCCTTAAAATCGGCTAACCGGAAGTGTCACTTTATTTCAACGCTGAAAAACATTATCACAATTTTCTTAAAAACGGCTCTAACGATTTTGATTAAACTCGGTTTATCATTGTATAATTAAGTGGTCTTTAATATCATTAGGTCTTATCCCCATTGATGTCACTTTACAGAGCTTAAATGCCCAATGTTCATATACGTCTTCCTCTAAAGTACCTTTAATATGGTTTATATTAAAAAGTTAATCATTTCAAATTAGTTAGAGTTACGAAAAAATGCTAAATATAACTTTTGAAAGAATTTGATGAGTTAATAAAGGAGAACAAAAATAAATATGTAGAAAAACCTGCATTGCTATAGACCTCAACGAATGTACAGATTTCAATGAAACTTCGCTAAAGTCATTTTCTCGATACCCTTTAAATTTATCTATATAACATATTTCGACGAAAAGAAGCTGGAAAAAAAGTTACGAGGGATGGTAAAATTAAATTCTGAATAACCCAAAAAGTATACACTTTTCGTGAATATTGTATATGGTTTTCTAAAAGTTTACGGAATTTCCTAAAAAACAAAAAAAAAAATCGTTAAAATCGGACTATTAGGAGGAAAGATATGGTCTTTAGTTGTTTTTTTTTTAATATGTTCTGCTTCAAAGCTTATATCTTTTATTTTATCGACTTACTCACTGTCTGCAAAGATAACTTTTTCAACTAAAAATATCACTAAAATGGCATTATTAAAAAATGTTGAAATTGGAGTTAGTCATTCTGAGGTTTATAAAAGCAAAGAATGTTGTGTGGTTTGTAAAAGCAGATGGAGTGACTACATTTTTATTGCCTACTGTCGATATATTAAATAGACATTTTGTAATTATAATGGTCTTAATGACTTGTTATCTGTAAGCTTTAGCTCCGTTTAAAATGCACTTCAAAAAATTTTATAATAGCCCAGCATTGCCGGAAAGTAATTGCTGTTTATAGTAGAAAGGTGAGTGAAAGTTGTGTGTTGCGCGCACCAGATTTAATTTTTTTTTACTTTAAAAGTAAAGTATAATTATTCTTATATTAAAAAAAAATTGTAAATTTGTTTGTTTCAGTAATAATAAAACCACTCAATTTGATAACATTTTTTTTCTTTTACACGTTGTAAACATAATTATGATTAATACGATTTTTGAAGTAATTAAAGTTGACTCTTCTATTATTTTAAAAGATCAAAAAATTATATCCTTGTTTAGCTTCAGCTCAGTTAAAAATGCAATTCAAAAATTTTAGTAGCCCGATATGGCCAAAAATAATTTCCTTTCAAAGTTGACTGGTAAGTGAAAGTTGTGTGTTGCACTCACCAGATTTTTTAAATAATATTCATTGAAAACTGGTGTATCAAATTATAGGAGGAATCAGTTTTTCATCTGACTAGGCCTTGTTTCAATTGGGAGCAATCTTATACGAGTTAAGTTAGACAGGAATTAAATGACTGTAAGTGACTATTGCGTGAAATGGCCGCCCGAG